TCTAAAACCACCCTTGTTTTTTTGATTTTTTTTGATTTTTTTTCTCTGTAATGTTACAAAAAGCAACTAAAGCGAACAAAAAGTAAAGCACATTACAGATTTACAAACATGCAACTCTCAAGTCTCAAAAGTATTACGCGTGATAATGTTATCTTTGAAGAGGCGACCACTAACCAACACGGCCACGAACGTATCAACATCAAGATCACCGGGACGGCTACCGATGCGGCTGCCGAACCGTTGGTGATAGCTTCACCTTTTCGATTCTCGTTTGGTGTACAGCCAAGCTTGAATAAGAGTGGGGGTGTTGTGGGCTACACACTACCCACTCCTCTGTGGAATCACCAAGAGGGTGAGCCAACGCAGAAAGAATTTGCTTTTTATGAAGCATTGAAAGAGTTGAAGCATATTTGCTATCAATATCTGGAAGGGGCTTATGGCATAGACGTGGCAGAGAGCATTAAGTTTCCACTGGTAGAGAAAGAGGGGAAAGCACCGATACTATACCCAAGGCTTATGTACAATCAAAAGTCTCGTAGCGTACGTACCCTCTTTCACTCACGCTGGAAAAATCTTAACCCAGTACTAGATTGTCGTGATTACTGCAAGGTAAAGATGACCATCGTGGTTGATAGTATCTATATAAGTGATGAGTACGCATCGGTACAGCTGAAATTAAACGATGTATATATACAACCGTTGGCGCAGAAAAAGGTGCAACCATTAGCTGTCCTTTCTGAAGATGAAGAAGAAGATGAAGAAGATGAAGTCTTTGAAGATGATGTCTAGACCTCTTCGAGGTCTAAGGTCTTTTCTTTTCCTTTTTTGTTTCGAAAAAGGAAAGGTACACTTACCACTAACATTATAAACATTTAACATTATAAAAATTTTTTTTTTACATTAAGGGGAGCTCGAGGGGCTGGCCTCTTGAATTTCTTCAATAAAATTTTTGCGACATGTTTTTTTCACATTATCGATAAAAAGAAAGTCAAATGGTTTCAGTCTTGAGAACAAATCTACATCAAAACTATTATCATCAGCGATATTTTTGCGATGACGCTTTTGTACAGGCGCGTACACAATCAAATGAGAGCAGTTTAATCTGATTGTGGAGGGTGTCCTGTAATAAGATTGACTCAGATAAATCGGTGAAATCAAATGATGTCTACCGTCAATAAAGTGAGTCAAGATTTTTTCTTGAACGTTTTTTGGAGCGGCGAGGAGATCATCAAAAATCACAACCTTTCTGTTTCCTTCCGGATACTCAGACGTGTCAAGAATCTCATCGGGGTTCATTATGTGCATAATATCACATCCATATTTCTGTGAGTGTCGTTGCATAATCTTTTGCAAATCTTGATACATCTCTTGATGAGGATTTTTTGTGTAAAGATAAATCTGATCGTAAATGACCAACGGCTTTCTCAAAATATTCATAAGTATGTTTGTCTTTCCACTTCCACTGGGCCCAGCTATCAACATTCTGTACTCTTCATCAAGAAAGTCAACGCCGGGTACTCTTCTCTTTCGATTTTCGTTTGAACGGTGTGTTGTGAAATTTATAATATCAACCATTTTGCTTATTGTACTACTATGTAGTATAAATTAACTTTAACAAAATCGAATATGTAAAAAAGCGAAAGTGACACTTATCTCTAAAGATAAGTGTTATTATTGCAAAAGCAAAAGTTTCACTTATCTTTGGAGATAAGTGTTATCAATGCAAAAGCAAAAGTTTCACTTATCTTAGATAAGTGTTATCAAAAAGTGTTATGCAAAAAAGCTTGCGTGACACGAGGTTACACAAAAACCTGTCAGAATAACTTTACCATTTAAAGACCAAAAATCGGCCGACACAGTAAGACATCAGCTGAAAGATCTTGGCCGGAAAATCGGAACTGACCTACAACCAGTTTTCACGAGTCGTAAGATCGAGGGAAAGCTCAAGATACAAGAAGAGAAGCCCGCTTTAATTAACCACCAATGCGTTGTTTACACTTTTAAATGTGATTCGTGCGATGCGGATTATATCGGTTATACCACACGCCATCTTCATCAACGCATAGAAGAACATAAAGCCTCTGTCATTGGCAAGCATCTGAGGGAGGCCCACGGTGTAGCGTCCGCTGGCCTGGGGAAAATGTTTTCCGTTCTCAAGAAATGCCGCGGGAAAATGGACTGCCTAATCCACGAAATGTTATTCATTCGCGAACAAAAACCAAAGTTAAACACGCAGTCTGACTCAATACGTGCAAAAGTATTTATTTAAACATATACTGCACGATCTGACACCAATAACAATGAACGCTCATTATTCTAATGAAGTTATCACATTTTATTTGTATATAATCTCTGAGCTACAATTTTACATCAGTTTTAACATTTTACTTGATAATGAGGTCATGCAGACTTCGAAACGTCGTAGTTTTTTACCGTTAATTTTTATCATCAAATCGAATACTTGACGAGGATTTTGATCATGATAGACTTATCAATGATGTGACAGATCGAATCGCAAGAGCAAATCATAAAAAGGCTGGTCTCTCGAAGGCTAGAGAGAAAAACAGAGACATAATCGAAGATATTGAACGACAAGTCAACACGCTGAAAAAATATGCAGAGCGAATTAATTTACTCGCGGGTGGTGAGAAAATGCTTGTCACGCAAGGTCAAGGTCTCAAGGGTCACAAGGACTCAAAGAGCAAAGGTTCTAAGCGTAAATATGCTCAGAAGAAGCGAAATGCTTACAAGGTTGATAGCAAAGGACAGTACGGTGGTCTCTTGATAAACCCCACGCGATTAATAAATGAAATGGTGGTCGAAGCGTGTGATCCTTCGACCGGCGCTGTTGTTTATGAAAGACAGGGTGATAAAGGGATCGTTGATCTTTTGACAAAGAGATGTAATCCCAAAGGACAGTATTCGTCAAAGGCGACTCAAATATTCAAAGATTTGAACAAACTCGCAAACATTCCGGTTCATAAATCGTCTGGAAAAGCGAAACTTCTCGAGAGAGTAATTGGAGGAGCTATTTTTTCTGATTTCAAAGATTTGGAAAACAAACTCATCACATTGACAGGGAGTATCGATGCCGGTAATTCAAATTTTCAGTTGAGAAATGAAGCGATGGAAATATTGGATCATCTACTCAAAAAGAAAAAAATTTCAAAAGAACATTATGATGCCTATATACAAAAACACTTAACATAATGGAGAGACTTTTAGAACTGACAGAAAAACAAGTATATAAAACACCTATATATCTCGACTCATTGAATTGTGCGAGAGGATCAAGCCATAATTTTACAACATATTTCAATCCTGTAATAAGGCTCGATCCAAACAGAGAGTATGAAATTGCTCTAGATGAAGTTGCAATGTCATACAGTTGGTACAATGTGAGTAGCAGCTATAATAACAATAAACTGAAATATAGCCACGATTCGGGTAATACGTGGCATGAGATTGAACTCCCAGATGGAAATTTTGCCTACTCTCAATTGAACGCTTATATTCAGAGAGAACTCGAGGGAGCAAATCATAAAAAGAAGGGTATTGAACTCAAATTCGTCCCAGCTCTTTTCAAATGTCTGATCGGTCTCGAAGA